CGCCCAGCGCCGCTCGCAGCCCCCGCCGCTCGCTCGGGCGAACGCAGCCCCGGGACCACCCTGCTCTCCCCTCGCCGCAGGGCAAACGCCAGGGCGACGCTGCCCCTACTGACCAACGATGCTTCTGCGTTAAAGAAAAGTGAAGAAGGGAAGAGGGAGAAAAGCACCTGAGGTTTCCCTTTGCCTGTCCAGATGGATAAAGGGAGCGTGGTTAAATGAGCACAGACACATAGAGCTAGCGGAACACGTCAATCAGGACGGATTTCTTCCAGCACAGAGGAAGGGCCTCCAAGTCCTCCTGCAGTAATTTTCCAGGGCTGCTGATTGACTGGAGCCAGACAGCCCATCCCAGCCCCCTCATCCCTCCCACAGAGGGGACGGTTGCATCATTTTGCCTTAAGAAATAAATAACCCTGATGAACCAAAGGCTGCTTTGGAAGAGACCTTTATTCCAAGTACGGCAGGAAGCAGGAGTCTGGAAGGGACTTCTGTGCCGGAGGACAAGACGACTACACTAGTTGTTGGTGAAGAGCAGCGCAGATGAGCCCTGCTGTCCTACAGGGCCTGGCACCTCCCGGTTGCTTTTCGGACACAATAAAGCAACCTAGCACGGCTGCTCCTGCAAAGTTGCAAGGCATCAGCCTTGCCATCAGATGGAGGAGGAGAAACGGGGACTCGGGAGAGGTGGAGATTCGTTCCGGCTCGCCCCCAAGGGCAGGTCCAACCGGGGGACGAGAGCCCCCGAGGGAAGGTGCCGGCTGGTTTCCGCAGCACAGCGAAGCGGGACCGCTCGTAGCTGGCACCTTCGCAACGCCCTGGCGCACGCAGCAGGCTGCCCCGGCTCCTGCCCTCCCTCGCCCCCTCCTCCAACAGTTGGATTTTGTTTGACCCAGCTCGGTTTCCTGTTTGCTTCCCGAGACCCAGCCGCCAGCGGACCAGCGGTCTGACCAGCCCCGCTCAGAGCGGGGAGAGTCCCCGCAGCTGCTCTCCAGCAGGGAGCCAGCCCGGACACTCGCGGCAGAGGGGCTTGAACAGGCCCGGGACAAGACCAGTAAAAACAACACATGCACCCTAATCCAAACACATCTGGGGAAAGCTATTTTGCTTTTCCACAGGCCGTTCCCAAAGGCACTCCCAAAGACCTTCTTCTCCCCTGCAGCCAAACCCTTGCTCCAAACACCCTTTAAATGCCAAACAGCAGAGGCAGGAAACTCTAGCTGTAAAGGAGATCGACGCATGGACGCAGCAGACCGATCCCCTGCACGCACGCGCCCGTCGCTGGCCGTGGCTGGGGCGCTCTGCTCCAGCGCGCGCGCATGCAGACACCCTGCAGGAGCCCTCCTCGGAGCCGGAGAGCCCACCAGCTCCGGTGGGCTCAGGTACTTCCGACAGAAACGGAGGGGGTCCTGCCCCAGCGCATCGTCCCCCTCACTGCAGCAAACCATGCTTATTTTCTACCCCTGCTGCCTTCCCCCTGGGGCAAGGGCAGAAGTCAGGGGTCAGCTCGCCCCTCGGGCGGAAGGACATCAGCCCATAGAGGGGCATGACGGGCTCGCACCCGCTCCTCGCCAGCACGTTCGGAGGGAGGCGCTGCCAAGACGACAGCCCTTGATGCGTCCTACAGCCCCAAGGAGATGATCAGGGTTCGAGACTCAACCCCCACGGCCACTGCCCATGCTGGAGGCTGCAACGTCTACACATGTCCTTGCTTCAAGTTCTTCTCCATCATACCCTGAGCAGCCTGCAAGTGCACCAAGCCTCGTCTTGCGTCAGCCACCCCCACGGCCTCGGTCCCACAAGAACCACCACGGTGGCCCTTCCTCTTCAGTTCCTAAACACAAGACCATAGGAAGGAACCACACAAGCTCTTCAGAAGGGGAAGCCACAGCATTTCTCTTTCAGCAAGTCTCGCTGCTCCCTCAGCTTCAGGAGTCTGAGCTTTTCTAATGCAAATAAACTTTGATGGGGGGGGGGGGAAAAGGGGAGGGGGGCTCCCAGGGGGCTGTTATGTTAGGACGGATCATGTCCCTCAAAACAAGAGAGACCGGGGAGCAGCAGCTAGTGAGATAAATGAAAGAAACACAGATGGACGGTTTGAATATCTACCACAAATGGCCTAAATTCCCGAGCTCCCTCCCCCCACCCCCACTGCTTGCAAAAGGTGCTGTGAGCTTATGGAAAAACATGAGATGAAGTAGGACAGCCGTGCGATGATGCCCGGTCGGGACCCTGGAACGACCATGCCATGAAAAAACGAATGAAATAAAACCAAAGATAATTATTAGGAAGGAAAGTCATACATACATATATCAGGCGATTCATCCGAGCCATCGGGACAATCCTTTTCCCCGTCACAGCGCCAGCCCTTAGATATGCACGTAATCTGATCTTTGCATGCAAACTGTTTAGGGCTACATGTCTTCGGTGCTGGATGAGAGAAGAAATAAAATAATGATAATAAACAAGATCAGTTTCTTCCCAAAGACAAGTTACTTAAAAAATATATAAAACTTAAATTAAGGACTAGATTGTTTTTAAGTTTGATTTCTTTTTAATGGCTCAGCAAAAGTTTTTAGCCTGGCACCAGATCCATCAACCTTGCCCCTAAGGAAAGGAGAAAATTTAAACTGAAGCATTAATTACACTGCGAGAAAACGGGAACTGAGATCCATGATGTGCTAACAGACTTTAAAGATCATTTAACTTGGATGAATTAGCTCCTGGGAGCCCAAGGCAGTTTATTTTCTGTGCTAGACAGTAAAACAAGAAAAAGGAAAAAAAAATTAAGAAAACCCAAACGAGAACAAATTAGAAAGCAACATTTTTAAAACCATGAGGACAGCACCGCTAGCATCATGCCACGGGTGCTGTGTCCTTGCGCGTGGGCGCTGTGGCCGGAGCTGCGGGCCGGGATGCGGGGAGTGGGCCCGACGCTGGGACCAGACAGCCCCTCCGACCCCAGAGCCGGCATCGGCCGGGGACGCCGCCGGGGCCGGGGCGGGGACCTGAGACACTCCGCGCGCCGGTTGGGAAACGCAAGTTCCTCTGGGCCGCTGGAGCTCTTGTTTAGAGCTGGTCTTGATATTTCGCCACGTGTAGAGGCCTGGGACAACCATGACTGTCTACAGGAGCTTCTCCCCGACCACCACCAGCAAAGGAGTACGGAGACGGAAGTTCCCTTCCACTTTTGCGTTGTTGGGTTTCATTGTTCTAGACAGCAGACGCTGCAAGAAAGCTCTTTTTTGGCTAATCCACAGCTGGCGGCGACTGCTCCAAACTTTTAAAAAATGCACATGCGTGTGTACACAGCACACGCTCCGAGTAAGCAGAGCCAGGCAGCTAAGACCAAATTACAACACAGGGCAGGCAGCAAAAGTTCAAGGAATAGCTGCAGCCGAGAAAGGTCAAAATTTAAAGCATTCCTGGCTTCGTTTGCGATCTACTGGTCCCCGAAGGAAGCACCCACGTGCGAGGGCCAGCGGAGCTGCGCGGAGGGGAGAGCCGAGCGCCAGCGCCCGCCCTGGCGATCCCCGCGCAAGTCCCCTGGCATTTTGCGTTTTTCCTAGAGATTCAGCTCTTCGCAGCGCACGCTTGCACGCTTCACTGCTGATTTCAGCTTCTGTTATAAAATAGCGAGCCCAAGCCCTTGGGAAGGCAGCAAAACTTGGAAACGCAAGCAAATACAACTTGGAGAATTGATTAAAAGAAAAGGCAGTAAAACACACAAATTCCCCAAACATTTATCTTGTGTCATCCCCAGCCTTCTGCTAAATCCTCTGCTCAGAGGACCCGTTCTCACATAACTCCCCAATAAAGAGGGATCTCTAGGTTCGTTTTCCTGCCAGTCACAGCAGGAAGCGAGGCGAACGCGTGTCGCTCCAGCTCCCCACGCGCGACCCGCTCCAGACAGCTGCTGACGGATATCCCACGGGGATGCTGCAGGACACGGACTGGGGAAGAGCATGGGGAGAAAGTCCAGTCTCCAGAGCAGATCTGCTGAGGGGTGGGAGGACACGCTCCTGCCACCCGCCCGCCCGCGGCAGAACCGCACTAATTACTCGTTATACCTGGAAAAGGGCTCCGTGCGCCTGCGAGCTTCTCCACTTTCTCCAGTGGTATCGTTTGGTCTGATAGAAGAGTATCGCTTCCTCCAAACCTCATCTCACTTCTGCCCTTTTAAGTACCACCAACTCCATCACTACCGCTACAGATGAGGTGGGGACGCTCAAGGCACTGTTTCACTGCAAAACCCTGCAGCGAAGGACCCCTGCTCGGAGAGGACACGGGAGCGGGAGAGGACGGTGCCAGGACCGGGGGCTCGGAGAGGACACGGGAGCGGGAGAGGACGGGGCCAGGGCCGGGGCTCCTGGGCTCCTTGCCTCCAAGGCTGCGTCCTTGTGGGCAGGAGCCGCGAGCTCGCAGACGATGCTTCCCAGTCCACCTCTGGGTTCGGTTTCCTCCTGAACCCCTCGGGAGAGGTCAGGCCTTGAAGCAAGGAGGTTTATACCCTGTCACAGCATCTGTTTATTTACACTACCAGAACTCTGGCTCTTTTCAAGGTCCTTATAAACATCCCTAAACCCGACACCGCGTCCTCACCCAGCGCTGGGGGAGACGTGCCCCGAGCGCCTCCGCCAAGACCCAGCTCTCCTCCAGAGCCGGCTTCGCCACCCTCTCTTCTTGGAGGAGCTCATCTTCCCCCTTCATCTCTGAGCCACAAGTTTACCAAATGCAAAAGTCATTAAAAAGAAAAACCACACCAAAGACCTGACATTCCCTTTGGATTTCCTGCTCTCCCTCGTTCTCCGGCGCTTCCAGCGGCCACAGTGACCTACCAGCGCAGAGAACCAGGCAGCTTCCCGCAGCCGGCACCCGAGAGCACCCTCCTCTTCCTCAAGCAAGCTCAGCTCCTCCGCTCTTGCTGTCCTCCTCCCCCCAGAAAGGAGCAGACAGATTTACAGCAGACGGGTAAATCCCCAGCAAGCGATTCCAAGTGTCCTGTCCAACATCAACACTCCCGCTGCCCCCTTCTCGGCTGCTTCAAGCCCTGCCGGCTCGCGTCGACGTCGGAGGAGAAAGCAGAGTCAGGGCAGGACCTCCATCCAGCTGGTTTATTTTACAGAGGGAACAG